TCTCTACTAAAAATACAAAATTAGCTGGGTGTGGTGGTGCATGCCTGTAATCCCAGCTACTCAGGAGGCTGAGGCAGGAGAATCGCTTGAACCTGGGAGGCGGAGGTTGCAGTGAGCCAAGATCACATCATTGCATTCCAGCCTGGGCAACAAAAGCGAAACTCCATCTAAAAATAAAAAAAGAAAAGAAAAAAGAAAGAAAGAAAGATTTTCTAACCATCTACCCACTTAAACACACTAGTTAAGTGCCCATGGTGCCAATACTTTCTTGTTCTCTGGGCTCTTTTCCACATTTATGTTTGCCCAGAAATATGCTATGGGCCACTGTAGGCCCTGATCTCCTCAATTTATTTCTGTCACCTCTGAATTTTGGAGACTCGTACTAAATTCTCCAATCAAACACTTACCCTAGTCTTGAGTTATGTAGTAACCTATCAATTGAAAATCACCTATCTTTCATATCTTCCTAGATATATATTTGAGTCCCTACTATACAGATCAGAAATGAACAAAAAGAAAAGAATAAGAGTTTTTCCAGGAAGACTGTGTTGCATGTGTGTGAAGGGAAAAGGAACTGAAGAATAAAATGTTGGGTCACTAATATTTTAGAACCTGCAGGACAACACCATTTTTGAAGCTAAAGAAATCACAGAAAAATTATTGGCAGGTACTGGAGACTCAGAAGAGAGTGATAGAATGGAAAGTAAGGGAAGAAAGCATTTCAAAAACAAGTGTCAAAAATTCTTGAAGGATCAATATAAGTACCAAAAGGGGAACTAATTTGGTGAAAGTGTGTTAAACTGGATGGGTTTAGTCTCCACTTTCCATTTTAGGAACAGGAACGCCTTCTCAAAGAGGGATTCGAGAATGAGAGCAAGAGACTTCAGAAAGAGATACGAGATATCCAGATGAGAGGCATATCATCGGGCCCAACATGTAACATACTCTAAAAGTCCAAGGAGCAAAATTTGCCTATCCAGCTCCCTCTCCCCAAGGAACAAGGTGAATGAGCAACTCCAGTGTGTCGAACAACTGCCATTAAACTTAACTCAAAATCATGATGTGAGCATTTTTGTTGAACCATAAAGTTTGCAAAGTGAAGGTTAAAAATGAGGTCTATGTTTTACCAACAAAGTAATTCAATTCATGTTTATTTATAAACTAACTTTGAATATGATCTTTAACTAAATCCTATATTTGAAATCATGCACAAGGACTCAAGAGAGATATTGACAACTGGAATGCATTTTCCAATGAGATATCATGCAGTTTCTGTTCAGGGTAGATTTTTTTTCTCTCATATGCACCACCCTTCTGTATATTCAGTCCAGTGCTCTTATTCAGGGATTTACTATGATCCTAGGATAGGGCTGCAGTATTGTGAATAGGATGAAAATCGGATGAGACCAAACAAACCATGGGGCACAGTTGAGCATCAGTCCTGCCAAGTGGCCTTTGTATGGCACCCTGGCCGCAAATGAAGGAGATCTGGGACACTTAACTAGGTTTTAAAGTACAGACAGTGCACAGTTCTCATTGGGGTGAAGGCTGCATGATCTATGGGCACTGGCAGAGAAAGTGGTTGCCTCTGTGCAGAATGCATATATGAGTAGAGGCTCCAGCTTCTCTGTCCATTTAAACCCTCTAGGTAAATTACTGACCCATTCCCAGGCCACCTAGATTTCTCTCCTCTAATCTCCCTTTCTTAGTCTTTTCCATGTCCTGACTTTTAGAGAATGACTTCTACAACCACAGAAAGGAAAGCTTTAACTCAAACTCAAATTACTTTCCATTTTTCTCAGGACCATGACTATAATTCTGTAACGTCTAAAACTCGACTGCGTTTTTCTCTCTGCCCCTCTGCTATGACATTATATACTCAAAGCTAGTCAGAATAAATGCCTTGCTAGGGCAAAAACAGATGACAGATCAAAAATATCAAGAATAATTCATTAATACAAAACAACCTACTCCAATTGTTTCAGGGTGTGTATTATTCAGAGTTCTTCATGGCAAATAACAATCTGCTCAGCAATTTAAGTAAAAAGTAATTTAATTTTTAAGACCATTAAGGTGCACACAGATACTCCAGAATTGTGAGGAAGTCATACTCTACAGCTATTCTACCCAGAATAATACTACCATTGTAAACGCATCTCATGGGAAAACAACACAGCTACCATGACCCGGCACCATGATCTCTAGATGAAATGCTAGAAGCTTCTCCAATGTCACCTATGAGTAAATGGATGCCACCACTTTCACATTTGCAGTAAACAAACACACCCCTACCCCATGAAAAGTTGCATCTTGAGTTGCTTACACCTCCAGCTAAGCCTCACAAAAGTCAATGCGCAGGGAGGAATCTCAATCATATGCCTACCTAAGGGGAAGTCTGAGAACTGGAATTTTTTTGTCTCCTACTTTTGAAGGTAGAAACTAATAACATGGGAAATTTTCCTCTAGGTTTAAGTCAACCAGTTTTTCCAGGTAGATGTTGGGAGATAAATCTTATAGCAGGAATAAAATAAGACTTGTGTTAGTATTTTTGTGTACATCAGATACAATACTCTTCTCATCTTTTTCTTTTTGTCATCATTTTTCAATGTTTTTTCAAATTTTTTCCACTGTTGTTTTATGTCATGAATTTTGTTAACATTCTTTAAGTTATTCTTAGCTTTTAACAATGATACTTAAGAAAGCCTTAATAGGACTATTGAACAGGTGCTCCCTACTCCCCAACCCTCCCAAAACAATATAACACATTAGTTCGTTTGTATTTAAGATTTATCTTGTTTATGCCTCAATTTAGGTATCTTTCTTACTTTTTAAACAGCTAGTATTTTGTATCTACTTCTGTGCAAGCAAAAAGCAACTTTATTCTTTCTTATAATTCCCCTTTTACTTAATCAGAACATTTTTTCCTGTTTGTTCATTAGTCACTCTCAGATAAATGAATAGTCTCTCTTTCTAAATAAAAACAAAATACCATTTGACCTAAATTTGTAGATGTCTCTCTGAGTTTTGATTTAAAGTTTCTGTCATTATATCCTGCATTCCCTCAGGTCTCACTCATTCACACAGCCCAGGCCTGATTCAGCCTTACAGGCACACAGTGAGAAAGGAGTATGGCTTTTTTTTTTTTTTTTTTTTGCATTTCCAGCTCTACCTCCCACAGTGTACACTAGCTCATGTTTATGATACCTTCAAGTTGTAACACTAGAGTGCAGGGAATTAAGGAAAAGAAACTTTACATGATACATAACTGCTCTGGTGTTGTCACCTTCTGGTGGTGGCTTAAGTCCTTAAGGATGATTTAGGTTCTTTGCTGATTCCCCCTGCCTGGACCTCCCAATAGCACATCCCTATTGTAGTCTACTTCTGATTCCTTTCCTCAAATTTTCTCTTCTAAGGATCCACTTATTCCATATATGCTTGATGTTGAGATCAATGCACCTTGACATGTTGACATCTGGTGCAAGATTGCTTCAAGATGACCCAAGTCCAGAACACCCCAGTGATTCTACCCAGGAGAAAAGCTCATGCGCGCCTACCTGCCCCACACTGCAGGGACGGGAGGCCCCCAATTCTCTTTTCTTTCCTACTTGGCCACAAACAATTCCACCCCAGACTATCACTTTTAAATGTTTTTAGGCATGAGTCAGGCACCAGGACTAGTGTCCCCAAACCCCAAAGAGCACATATCAGCTTTTCAAGAGAATCTTTAAGTGCCCATTGCTACTTCGTTTGTAAAGGTAGTAAGAAAGCAGCGCCTCTCATTGCCCTATGAGGAAAATGAGCAAAGATAAAAAGAGGGTGGGGATCAATGCACACCAATAACTCTCTCAAAAGAATTCTCTGCTGCTAATCTATTCTGATCAGTGTCTCCACCTCATCTTATATTCCCTGGATGCAACTTGTTGTAAGACCTACACAAGCTCTCAGTACTATTCTTTTAGAAAATGAATAATCAAACTTTCAGATTTGGAGGGGAAAGGTAGAGATAAATAGTGCCAGATTGTTCTAGTCCGCTTTCATATCTAGTCTACTTTCAGGAATAAGGAGCAGAGATTAAACATAATTTAACCATTTTTTTTTAACAAACTGAGTTATTTGAACCAAGTGCCAGAACCTTGTGGCATTGTGAACTGGCATAAAATGTAGGTTAAAATCTTTGTAGTATATTTGCTGTAAAATGAGGATGATAGTACTTGCATAACAATCTGGTAATGAGGAATAAATTAAATTTAATAAATAATATCTATAAAGAAGTTAACACAATGCCTGCAATATAACAGGCACTAAATGTAATATGCTTCTTCTCCTTTTTTTTTTTTTTTTTTTGAGACAGTCTCGCTGTCTCACTCTTATCACCCAGGCTGGAATGGAGTGGAGTGGTGCTATCTCAGCTCACTGCAACATCTGCCTCCCCGGTTGAAGTGATTCTCCTTCCTCAGCCTCCCAAGTGGCTGGGATTACAGGCACACACCACCACACCTAACTAATTTTTGTATTTTTAGTAAAGATGGAGTTTTGCCATGTTGGCCAGCCTGGTCTGGAACTCCTGACCTCAAGTGATCCACCTGCCTTGGCCTCCCAAAGCACTGGAATTACAGGCATGAGCCACTGCGCCCCGCAGAATACAATATACTTTTTATTATAACACTAACCCAGGCTTCAATGCTGCAAATATATTTCATCTCGGTAATATTTAAAGACTTCTTATTAAAACAGTGTGCCATTTTCCACCTCTCAATTTAGTTAATATTAAAAAGCCTTATTCCACCTGTGGGGGGTGGGCATGAAGGAATGAAAGCAAGTTTATTAATATATCTCAAAAAGCCTTTAATAAAAACACCATCTCTGACCTTCACGCTCCACTCCCAGTTTCATTCTTTCAAGCAAAATACATATGGAAGGCTGTATCCTTAGTTTGCTGCTGAATACCAGTATATAAGACATGTCCTTTACTTCACTTGCTGCATCTCCAAGTGACTAACCTGTTCCAATGTGAGTGTGTCAAATATTTGAGGAAGTTAGACTTTAAAACAATATGATGCCTCCTCAACCTTGGCTTTTCAAAATGTCACCCAAACCTGAAATAAGTAAGATGATATTTCACATGATATGATGGGCTTTTAAAAACAACAACAAATGGTATCTACGATTTCTTCCAAAAATAAAATTTGAAGATGTTAATGCAACCACTAACACAGCTCCCAGAAAATTCTTTACAGTTTTAATCCACTGCTTTGCACTCAGGACTTTGAGGTTCAGTGTGTCTAGTCTGTTACAGAGGTTGCTTTTTTTCTTTCCTTCTAATTATCTGTTCTCAGAAGGTAACTTGGAAAGCTCCAGGACATTGTAGGGGTGAAATAAAAACACAAAGATCAAGCAACTTCAGCAAAGTCTCAGGATACAAAATCAATGTGCAAAAATCACAAGCATTCCTATACACCAATAACAGACTTAAAGAGAGCCACATCAAGAAC